GAAGGTGGAGAAAAGAAGGACAGAAGTAAAACTACTATTGCTTTAACATATTTTAGTGAGAACGAGAAGTCAGGAACCTCATATGGATGTTTGTACAATCATGCTACAAAGATTACACCTTCAGGAAATTACCACAACGGGACTGTGAATGGGAAGAGCAGAAGGGAAAACACACATAAAAGTAAACATCTCCTACTCGGCTACTGGTAACAAAAAAGATGCCTCGGCGCAACAGATTTAAATTACATTTTACACTGCTAGCAACCCAAGTTTAAAAAAGGTTCCTTTTAAATAGTAGATTTCATAATTAATATTTACCAGCTTGTCAAAAAAAAGCAACACATCACTTCTCAGCTGTTCTAGGACTCTTTCACCGGTTCCTGCATTTCTGCCTTTGCTCAGGTTCGACAGATCGATCCTCACCTCTAACAGAGGAGACCAGAGTCACATGTCTTACAAACAGGAAAGCAAACTCCAACGGAGGAAAGCTGGAACACAAGCTTACACCTACTCATGGCCACAGTACTTTGTTTTTCCCCAGGAAATAGCTTATTTCTTTTTGTTAGATTTTTCTGAAAAGAAATAAACTTGATGGAAGCCACACAGATTATTTTTTATGAGTATGGAAATTCTAGCTTGATGCTGAGTATCAGAGGTTGCACAAAAGGCACTGAGATACTCAGCAGACAAAGTCATCTGAAATCAGGCAGCAGCAAGTCTCGCGCGTGCCTTTGACTCTGGAGTCTGCCATGAATTGCTAGATGAGCACTCAGTGACTGGTATTTAGTTGCATTTCTATATTGTTTTGTAGTGCTGGTGAAAGGTGCTGATCGGAAGTTCTGGAGATCTCTTCCTAAAAAATGAGTCAGGGGCATGCTAAACTCCTCTCAGTATCCTGGAGGAGGAGCCATTTCTGACTTTTGTCGGGTAAGCAGAGGGAAATACAGCTGCATCTCTAAGTATATGAGAAAGTGCTCTTTAAGTGCCACATACAATTGATTCCCTGGGTTCTCTGCAAAGATCCAGAGAAACAGGGACATAATTGACAGTACCTTGCCCATTCCAGGACTGATTCTGGACACCTCCTTTTAATGTCCACTGTACAATAAATACAGGCCTGCTCCGGAATATCGGTCTGACAACAGAAAGCAGGAAACACGCATTCGAGAGCTTGTGTTAACCGACAGGATAACAGTGTGGATTTGAGGTGGTAGGACATTTTGCTATGCAGCAGTGGGAAGACTAAACCCTTCAGTACTTGGATGGAACTGTAACTGTGCGATCTGTTAAGCCAAGATCCCACCCTCGCTGCTGTTCATCCTTTTCAGTATGTCTTGGAAGAGTTAAAACACCACTAACAGAAGGAACTGACAAGGTCAGGAATTTAGGTCGCGTGAATTTACAGACAGCCACTGCATTTTTTTCTATCACAAAAATAAGTTATCCAAAGAATCCAGCTACATCTTTACACAACCAACCTGCCACTACTGCCATCACGTTCAGACGGTAGAAAACAGGATTCCCGAACACCGTCAGGTTCCTAAGCAAAGCAAAAGGGACTCTCCGGGTGACAAGCTGCACAGCGTTACTCGCGTTGGCCTTGCAGGCAGGCAGTCTCAGAACACAGAGATTCAGTTTAACATTAACAGTACTGTCAAGTGCTCATGTTTTTGGTGTTCTGTACAAACAGATGAGGGTGCACGAGATACTGACAACCGAGCCCAGTTTAGGATTTCGGTGACTGTTGTATTTAACATTTTATACAAAACACAGACAAATGCCTACCATAAAAGGACTGAGGAAAAGATGACTCTCCCCCTAATCTTACCAAAAATATACTTGTTAAAGTGCCATCTGCAAGAGAACAAAACAGACACACTCAGCTTTCTTCATTTAAAACGAGCACAAGAGCTCTGTGAATTCCAATATATTGGACTCCTCCCCTCACCTAGTCTCTGGCAGGCAGTGATCTAGAGTTGAGCCTGGTGCAGCTTTCCCACTGCAACACCAGGCAAAAATAGATCTTTTTACTATTATCCAGCACATTCAGGAGAGTAATTACAGCTAAGTTTTGAAAGCATCATTAACTTTGAGTTATGAGAGGCAATGCCTCCCCCGTTAAGTACATTTCAAGGTTCCATAAGGAACAACCTGTATTATCAGTCTCCTTTCATATCGTTCTTTGAAACCACTGTGTTTTCTTTCTAAATAGATTGTCAAAGCACTCAAATCCTTGCCTTTTAAATCCCTGCACACAGAAGTACAATTCCCATAGATGCGACCTACCACAGCCCATTTCATTTAGACAGTTAAGAGTTAGCATACTACACACTAATTTGACACCTAACTTGTTTTCTGTAGGTTTTCACCTCACTAACGAGTTGTACATGATCAAGATCTACTGGTTCAGAGCCAATATAGTGGCAACAGGTTGTGCACTTAATAGTAGGAATCTATGGAAAGCTTGGTTTAAGCAGAACATAATAACCAAACAATAGCTTAATATCCTGAATTAATCGACCGGAGAAGTGATACAGAACTACTGAAGTCAGAGAAAAGTATTTCTGTCCCAGAATCAATCTTACCTGTACCAACGACAGCATGTGACTTTCTACTTTGCTAGCCTCACTGGTGCTCTGACTTCTCCCTTAATGTTACTTTATACTCCAAGGTTACATGGCATTTGGAAGAAATTGCTCTGCATCCTCTGCTTGTGCAGTAAGCACAAAATCATTGAGATTGAAGAGCCAAGTATTAACTTTCATAAACTTTGGAAAAAATGATGCTTCTGGGGGCTTTACACCCAACATCACCGAACGTTAAATGGGCAAAATGTGCTAAACTCCATCTTCTGATTCACAGGCTACAGCGCCAAGTCTCATGGTTTTATTTTCTCTGGCAAAACAACTTGAACCAGCAAGCAGACAGCTCCCTGCCACTGTGTCAGCAGGTGCTGGCAAAAGGGCACCAACGTCTCTCACTTCCTTCTCTGTGTGGAAGTGCCATTTGCACTAAAGAACATCTCACCCATGAGGATTTTCATGTCTTTTCAGTCATTAACCTTTCAAGTGACTTCTTTGAAAGGAAGCTATTTTGAGTAGCATTTCCCTGTTCCAAACAACCTCTAGTGATTTCAAATGTAATTTCATATGAAGAATGACAATGGATTATGCCCAAAGCAATATGCTGCACACCCAGAAGCTACCCACACTGGCTAAACAAACAGGATATAGGCTTTATTTAGAATCCACTGGAGCCTACAAGATTCCTTCACTTGCCTTTGATGAGTTTGGAATAAGCACCCAGTTCCACAAATTAACTTCAAGAGTTTTATGGATGGAAGGAGTGACACACGATTCTCCATGTTTGTAACAGGATTGTTTTCCAACAGTAACAATAGCTACCTGGCTATTCAGACCATTAGTCCCTTTGGACATGCTCTCTTACCATCTTAATGTAAAAAAAATTGTATCCCTCTAGGAATAAACTGCATTTACCATTTAGTACAGCCTATGAAATCTTTTAGTGACTTCACTTTCCAGTAAATTACCTCATGTCTTCTTTAAAGCACAATTCAACAGTTGCAGAAGATGCACTGTTAAGCTAAGCAACAGATGCATCCATCTTTTACTCACGCCATCTATACAAAAATGAGACTCAAGCATAATGGGGACTACAGAAAGTACTTTGTTACAGGTAGATCCTCTTAGTAAGACAGCATATTATGCCTACCATTTGTAATTAAACAGTACATGACAACCCCCTGTACAGATTTTCATATGAGCGTCTGAAGCTGTGAATGCCATTATAGGCTTCTGCTAAGAAAATCCTAATTTTCACTTCATTCTGCGTAAGTATTTTCCAGTTTAAGATGAAATGCTATTGTGAAAAGAGACAACAGTTGTTTGGCTAACACTGTTCTGACATCTAGATCAAACCTGTCTGCGGAACACCCGACTTTAAGCACTGCTGATAAGAAAAACTGACCTTCAAGTCAAATCAAGCTTCTGTCAAAAATCCCACAACTGAACACAGAATGTCACTGGCAAAACACGAGCTTGAACTGTGTTAGTCTCTTGGTTCTTCGATATTAAAAGGGGTGATGGAATAAAGCGGTCCCTAATGAATTCCTATCAAATTCACAAGGCAGTGCTTTTCTGAGCTCCATGTTGAGAAACAGCCTGCAGAAGAATATTTCTGCATGTCCAGAATGACAAAACGTTTCAAATTCTGTTCTGTATTTGACAGCGCTTTCAGTGTCAGCTTCGCTGCTCCACAGCGATCGCTCTTCCCAACTTGCCTTTCCTGCATAAACTGACAAGATTCAAGTTTGCCAGCGTCCTACTATTTCTAATTCTGCCTCCAGTTGCAGGTGAATACTCATTAGGTGGAAAGACAATTTTGATAGTTTCTGACATGTACATCAAACCTCGGCTCACATACCCTTACAGACCAGCTACGGTTGTCATGTCTTCCCAGGGAGCATACTGCGGAGCATTCATCCGAATAGCTGTGTTATCAACGAAGATTTTCATCTTGCCTAATCCACTCAGTCCTGATTGAAGAGTATTACTGTAGAGCAATCACCTATTCAAAACAGAAACAGAAACCCTTGGGCACATCCCCAAAAGATACGAGGATGACAAGTGCCAAACCTTAGTCTCTATGGCACCGTTTCTTTCCTTTTAAACCCATCGCTGCGCGTTACGTTAGGGACTCGTTTCTTTCAGCGAAGCAGCTTTCATTGGGATAGCAGACCAGCTTTTCCAACTCATCTTGCTCCTTCAACAAGACCTGACAGTACAAAGCAAATACATTTTGGAAAAAAAGATTGCTTTGCACCCTTTTCAAGAAATCCCAGGAACACAGGCCAAATGCAAAGAAGCTCCAAGGTACAGGCTAACCACAAAAATCTCGCTCATATTATTTGCCAATCAAGCAAGCTACAAAGTGTGAAACCATTTTATTTTGGTTTAGATAGCATGTCTTCCGAGGGGAAGTCATTTGATTGGAAGTATCAATCCCAAAACCATTACAAATCACATTTCTTCAGGAGCCGTTTATCTCCTGGAAGCTTAAGTCATGCACGTATCTTCTTTCTGAAACCTATTCCCATTCTGTTAGCTAACACAACTGCAGGATACACACAAATTCCGTTTTAATTTAAAAATAAGGCCTACCATATTAACAGCTGTCTCTAGCATCAGAAAAGTGTAAAGAAATTGTGCAACAAGTACTTGGACTTCACAGCACCAGAAAATTCTGCCCAGGTAACCAGGTATAGAGAGCCAAGGCAACAGTTGATTCTGGCAGGCCTTTACTGCCAGGGAGCCTGCAGTTATTGTGGTTGGTATCAACAAACAGATCCTGCTTTGGGCATACGGAAGTGGATCACATATCAAAAGTAAGAATTAGGGAGAAAAACCTTACTCAATAGAAAGTTAGCCCAATATATAAAAAACATACAAATGTTTAAACAGTTTAGAGGCAGCAACAACAGGAATGCTAAAGACTCCTGCCAAGGTGGCTGTTAACATCAATGTCTTTTTCCCCACCTTGTTTGCACTTGCATCTATTAAACTAGTTGGATGTGCTGCCTCAGCTGGCTGACAAACACATGGACATATGCAGCAACTTAAAAGCCTGCAAGCTTATTAATACAGTCAACAAACAAATATACAGAACTTTAACTGAGGGGAGGGGGGAAAAAAAAAAAAAGGAAACCAGAACCCAGAAGGTCCAAGAGGCTCAGCACGTCTCTGCATTTTAGAGTCTTGGAGAGACAGGAGACACCTGCCACTGATTCTTGAAACAGTTTCTTGTAACAGTAGATGCAAAGCAACAACAGATACTGGCCACTTGACTTGTGTTGTTCTTACTTTAGAGGGGAGGGGAAATTATACAGCCCTGCCTCAAGGTGGCATGAAGCAGTAATGTTACACTCTCAAAATCTCCAGGCAGTTGTTGTAGCAGATAGCTATCCAGTCTGGCTGAGTTGATGCCCACTGTACATTGTTGATTTCTCCCTCGGCTGTATAGGCCAAGATAGGGTCCTCAATGGCACGAGGCATTTGCTGGATATCCCAGATGAGAGCCTGATGGTCATCCGCTGCAAACGGAAGAGAAAATCACGAGTAGAACCAAGGTATAACAAGATCTCCATACATGACTACTAACAAGCATATAGTCCAAGAAGCTACACAGCATATGGCTGTTGCAGTCCCCACGGGTATTCAAGCCAAAGATACAATGATACAACCATGCTCCCAAAAAATAAGTTTGGATCTTGATAGAGGAGGCTGAGGGGGGATCTTATCAAACCTTATCAATATCTAAAGGGGGGGTGTCAGGAGGATGGGGCCAGGCTCTTCTCAGTGGTGTCCAGTGACAGGACAAGGGGCAATGGCCATAAACTGGGAAACAGAAGGTTCAGCCTGAACATGAGGAAACCCTTCTTCCCTGTGAGGGTGACAGAGCCCTGAACAGGCTGCCCAGAGAGGGGGTGGAGTCTCCTTCCCTGGAGACTTTCCAGAGCTGTCTTGACTTGTTCTCATATGATCTGCTCAAGGTGATCCTGCTCTGGCAGGGGCTTGGACTAGATGATCTCTAGAGGTCCCTTCCAACCCTGACTATTCTGTGATTCTGTGTGATTCTGTGATTATCCAGGATAGAGGTGAAAAAGAAAATGATCAGTGGAACTCCTATCAACTGAAAACAGTTACGGATTAGATTGCAAAAAAATAAGGAACATGAAAATAACATAGCTTAGCCAAAGCAGACGCACAGTTTGGGCACTGGGCTCACTACTCCCACACAATAAGCTCCAGTAGGTGTCTATTTCCATCAGCATTTTAGGAAAGTGATTAATAAAGGGCTTCTAAACCACAGGCATTCTTCAGCTAAAGGCAGGCCAAGAACTGCATAAACTTTTGGAGAGAGAGGATTGTATAAATGCAGTGATATACTCAGTTTCAACAGTCCAGCTGGATAGGGATGGATCACTTACCTGCTGTACAAATGTGGCAGGAAGAATGAGGTGCCCAAGCAATTCCATTTACACATGCTCTGTGGTTGTTTAACCTGGCAACAGGAGTGCAGGGAACTCTGACATCCAGAATCACAACCTTCAGAAACAAAAACCAACTCCATTAATAACCTTCATTTCTTATTTGTTTCTACAGAAAACCAAATATTTAAAGCCAAAGCTCTAAATACAGTCCTTTGCTAACGGATGCAGCTGGCAAGCAAACACTGTTCTCAAAGAATAGCTTCTAGCTGTTAGTGTGGCTCAAAAGGAGCCACCTCCTAGGGAGGGCTTGTGAGTTATCTACAAGGGCAAACGAATTACCCTTTCCTGAAGCAGCACAAGTGACAAACTAAGGCTGCCTTGTGCGCTGAACTGAGAAAGAACAAGGTGTCTAAAACACATGCAGTTAAGTTTTTGTGTGTAAACTACTGCTGAACTGGTCTGCAGACCCCTCTTACAATCCTGCATAGAGACCTTCAAGTTCATAATGCCAGTTATTTCTTCAACTCCTACTGAAGTTAACGCACTAAGAATTGGTGCTTAATCACAGTCCAGTTCAGGTACTGACGCTGCCCCCTTACTTTAAAGGGCTGAATACTAATTACTACCAAGGCACTTCCCAAAAAAATCACAACCTACAGAAGATGAGCTGCTGCTGTACCTCCATGCCATCCATGGCCATTGTAGCAAGATAGTTGGGATCCTGCTTATTCCAGCAGAGACGCAGCAAAGGATGGTGCTGTGGGTCCTCATAAATTATGGTGCTGTGTTCCAGATGACGGAGATCGAACATCCTCACCGAGCCGTCTGCACCAACTGAAGCGAACATATCTCTCCCACCACCTGCACGGCTAAATGCTATGTCATACACCTGCTCGGTAACAGGACAGAGAAAACCAGAACCTTAGTTTTCATGAGCATACTGCCTCCTAATTCACAGTCAAATGGATTTTACACATGCATAGCAGACCTAATTGCGAGATATTCTGTCAAATACTTAATGTTCCTAGCCAGTTTTTAGTTATTACACTTGCCAAAAGGAAGGGGGAAAAACTGAAAAGGGTTATGTCATCATGGGATCATTCACTGAAACAAAACATCTCAATTTCCCAGACTCAGATTTATTTATATTAATTGCTGAAGTTATGTTAAAATGAAAATCCTGCAAGTTGTTTATTGCCTTTGATACGTAGTCGATTTCAAATCCAGTTGGATGTTTTACCTCATTTTTCTAAAATATTATAGAGCATAATCTAGTAAGACAAGCATATTCAAGTCCTGATTCTATGAAGAGTAAACAGAGCAGTTCTGGTAGTCAGTGTAGTTTTAGTTCGGTACTCCAAACTGTGTATCTTAAATAAATTGTCTTTTTGGATCATTGAATTTTTCAAGCAAAAGGGGGAAACAGAAGAGTTGTGTTCCTTTTCGAACATTTTAAAACACATGCAATGTAAACAATCAAAAAAAGCTATCACCTCTTTGTCATGCGCAATAAGCTGGGTCTTCACATGGCCAGAAACCAGATTTACTCTTCCCAGAACCTGTCCTGTCTCCAGACCCCAAATAGTGCAGGTTGTGTCAATACTAGAGGTACCTAAACCAAAAGCACTTCCGTTAGCAAAATTAATATTCTCATAAATTATCTAATTGCTTACAAGAAAAATGTAGTATCCTCTGACATCCACAGATCAAAATAGCTACAAGAACAGCACAGAACTGAATTCAAGAATGTCAAACAGCAAACAGCCTACCATGCATTTAAATGACCCAAACCTTTTAGCTGCAGAAATAGTCTTCCACACAGGAATAAAGTGTAAATAGCTCATGTCGACTTCAATCTATCCGGAAGCCTAATACAATGCTGAGATGAACTTCCCCATCCTGCCTCATGTGCATGCCAAAAGCAAAATTCAATCGTAATGTTGCGATAGCTTATTACTATTAATTGATTGTTTCTGTGGACTGAAGGTGGGGCTGGCAGTAAAGCTCTTGAAATGAGAGATGAAACAAAAAAAAATCATGTAGTAAATAATTACTAAGACATATTATCACTGTTAATCCCTGGGCAAATCCCTGACATAGACGGCTGTACTCTTCTGGGAAACAAACCTCTGCTGGATCAGTCATCTTGGATTCACAATTTGTCCCACAGGCTATAATTAAACCTTAAGCATTCAGCCCCATCTTCCAACTGAATTAAGGGCTCCTGGCTTTACTCCTGCTGCTGAAATGGCTTCACAAAAGAAAAAGCTTGGTACATAGGTTTCTGTCCACTCCAGAACACACTGAAATAAGCAGAGTTCATTTACATCATTACTTAGTGCTACCGCAGTAGCTCACCAACCCTGGAGACTGAGTCTCCGTATCTGCAAATAAGGAACACCCCTAATGCAACCAAAGTGACCCATTCTGTACTGGACAGGGCACCTTTCAGTGCAAAAAAGCCTCCATGAGCTGCTCTTATTTTTTATTTTTAACCTGAGACAATGGCAGTTTCTATAACATAGAATTTTATCCACTGGTTAATTATCAAATTAGCCAGTGACATGCAATGACACAGCAGTCAGAGCCCAGACTTCATCAGATTAAAATTCACAAGTGTTATCTTTTCCATGCTGAAAAATGCGGCATTTTTTCAGTCTCACCAAGAAGGTAAGGGTCCACTTCATTCCAGTCAAATGACGTTAGTGGAGCACAGAAATCAGAGTTCTTGTTATTGTTCAGCAAACACTCCAGCCGGGTCTCTGTTTCGCCCACCTTCAGAAAAAGTGAAACATCTGACTTCAACAGCAATATCACATGACTTGTTCCACTTGCACTTCCAAAACATAAGGTGTTAATCCTTGTTTTCTTTCCTCTCAGCTTTACATCCTAAAGCTCCGGAAAACACAATCACCACCTCTATCTTCAGTAAGGTGATTAAAACAGCAACTACCATCATAATTCTGCTTCTCCCATAGTTTTCAAATTTAGTCACATTATTGTAGTTAAGAAAAATTATCAGGAGCTCTGACTTGATTTTGTGTCTTAACCTCCACACTGCAGCACGGGCAAGACACCCCGAAAGGAAAATAATTCACTTAAAAACCTGGCCTTGAGTGAAAATGAGATCAATAAGCAACACAATTAATATCACGGTTTAACGTTTTGTAGGGAGGATTTACTCACTCTCCACACTCGCAGATAGTCACCACTGGTTGCCAACAGGTCTGGATATACTCCCTTGGTGTCTGGGATCCACATAAGCTTTGTGGTAGGGTAGGGGTGATCAAAGGTGTTCCTGCAAATGAATTCTGAGCTCTCTTCATCCAAACCAACAAGCTGCACCTGCAAGAAGCCATATTGAAAAGCATTTTGTCAAAATACTAATTTATAATTACAGCATTAAGACTGAGTGTATTTCAGAAGGACACCTTCTGTAACCTCAAGAACAACATAAAAGGATGATCATGTCAATGGAATGAGAAATTGGTAAAGCTCTGCTTCTTAGCTGAGACATGTAAGCTAAGTGAAGTATACATAATCACCACAGTGCTTTCCTTTGAAGAGATGATCTCAAATGAATCAAAATCCAATCCTAAGGGATTAAAGACCACCCTTTTCTTTTCCACATTACAAAGCTTAGTTTGGCTCAGACTTAAACTGCACAAACATTATTCCAAGTCATCTTTGACTGAACTGATGCTGACAATGTCATCTTCAGACAGCAGGCCAAGCTGTAGTTCGCAAGACAACCACCCACAATTAAAGCCCATATCATGGAGTTCCCAGTCATAACCCTGCAGACTGCGATGGGTCATGTCAGCTAGCTGTCAAGCTGTTTTCAGCATCACATTAACTAAAACATTGTCACAACTGCACAAAATTAAAGTACAGATTCACAAAGTGAGAAAGTAAAACAGAATTTTAAAAAGTAAGCTAAAATATGCAAATAATTATTCAAATATTTTGTGTAAAAAAACCCCAGGAAAGCAGGTCTACTAAAAGATTGTGTGTAACTGAATTCCAAATTAGGTTTTTTTGCACAGTAACGTGGCAGCAGGAAGGACTAACTTGCTCCATTGCATGAGTGACAAGACAGCAGACAAGAAACTATCTCCACATAGCTCGGTCATGACAACACCTGAAGTAATGCTCAAAGTCCCAGACATTATGTTATTAGACAAATATTGACGTGTCAGAAAGCGTTCACACAACAATACGGAGCTGGGAGGACAGGTTTAAGCTAGCAGCAATGACCACAAGACCTAAACAGGATGAAAGCCCCACTGTGTTAAACACTGTTCAAACACAAACATTACAACTCGCTACAATCAGTTTGTAAGCAGTTCACCATAGGAACTTCCTAGTACTTTCCACACAGCAGCTTCCTCCTGGCAACAGTGGCGTAATGGACTTTTTCCAAGATGTTTTTCTGGAAAAATCCTAAATATTCTGGGATAAGCAATTTGGTGAATAAACTACACATTCAAACTAGATCAGAAATCTACCCTTTTGGGGGATTTTCACACCCCCCACCCCCCCACCTTTAAAAAAAAGTCACACTAACAAACACTTCAGTGGATCTTAAACTGCAACATCAAGAGTTAAGAGTATACTTAGAGTTGCTCTTAACAAATGCAAACCTTGACCCCTGCCACAATGAGAAAAATCCATCCTTTTTATCCTGTAACAAACCCCATAAGACATATCCAAGTATGTTGCTTAAAACCACGGTTTTGTCTGCCTTGCACTCTCTTCATTACAGCTACTCCTTATTATACTTCACACTAGCATGAATCAGTCAAGAATCTCCCAGTCTTCTGAAGCGATTGACAAATAGCTTTCTAACTCCATTAGGGATCAGAAATACTAAGCGGATTTTACAAAGGAAGCAAATTGTCCTTGGCGATAGAAAATCTTGTGGCAAGGTCAGGATCAGAAGACAAACGACCTCTAATCATTTCTTCTCCTTTGCTTATGCTGTTTTCAGCTCAACACGAGCATATTAAGCCTACACAAAGCAATCAACATACTCATAACCAGAAGGAAATCTCAAACAGCAAAGGACCCACTTCCACCGGTCTGAATTTATATATTCCTGCACTACATATCCATGTTTAACCCTTCCTCAGGCCTGAAGGAAAAGCAATGACTGTGTAGCAACCCAGTATCTTCGTGATCTTTGACATTTTTTGGTGCAGGCCAGGTGAGAGAACAAGAATTGTATTAGCAACACTGGTGCTCCTGGTAACTGCTGAGAATCCCTGTCTGACAGTCACTGTCGGACATAAAGCAGGAGGCATCGGTCTGCCCAGAGACAGGAGCAGAAGCAGAAAATACTGCTCGAGCAGCTGTTCTTTCCTAGCTCAGCATATTCAAAGGAATGACTTTTCTCTTTGGACTTGACCACATACGGTGATTACAGAATCTCTCTATTCATCCTCAGCCTGTCATCGCAGGCTGAACACGAGGAGATGGAGCGATGGAATTATTTTCAGGATGCTGATTATATTAGAGCCCTGTCTCTCCCTCCTGCAAGCAAGGCAAGATTTGCTGCTGCCAGCTACTGCATGAAGGAGTACCTGAAGTCCAGTGCAGGTAAAACTGAGGTGATGCTACTAGGAAAGTAACTGCCAGTCTGGATACAACTTGAACAATTCTACAGTTACATTTAACTCATTCCAGTGGGAACATGGGGACCAGTGTGTTCCATCTCCATTAGTTTTCCAACTATGCTGTGACAGTAGGTAGGAATGCTTAAGAATTATTTGTTTCTCCAATACGTCAAGATATGCTAAAATTGGATACGGATGTTTCCATCATAATCCAAGCCTTTATCAACATAAGGCTTAATTGCAGCAGTGCATCTGAGTAAAGAAGTGCCTTTAATCAGCATTCCTAAACTTCTAAATGAAACTACATCTCTTCAACATGATCCAAATGAATCAGAAACAGAATTAAACAATGCAGAATTTGGTAACAGCTTACTTCACTGTTCCTCACACCATGCAAGAAGGAAGTACATTCACAGTACTTCTTTTAAAAGCAGTATCCCTTTAATCTAATCAAGGCCAAGTGGAAGGTCCTGCACCTGAGTCAGGTCAATCCCTGTACAAGGTCAGGCTAGGTGGAGAATGGATCGTGAGCAGCCCTGAGGAGAAGGACTTGGGGTGCTGGGGGATGAAAAGCTGGACATGAGCCAGCCGTGTGCGCTGACAGCCCAGAAAGCCAACCGTATCCTGGGCTGGATCCAGAGCAGCGTGGCCAGGGGGGCGAGGGAGGGGATTCTGCCCCTCTGCTCTGCTCTGGTGAGACCCCACCTGGGTTCTGTGTCCAGCTGTGGAGCCCTCAACATCAGAAGGATATAGACCAGTTGGAGCGAGTCCAGAGGTCACAGAGATGCTCCAAGGGCTGGAGCCCCTCTGCCATGGGGACAGGCTGGGAGAGTTGGGGTGTGCAGCCGAGAGAAGAGAAGGCTCCAGGGAGACCTTAGAGCACCTTCCAGTGCCTGAGGGGGCTACAGGAAAGTTGGGGGGGACTTTTCCCAAGGGCAGGGAGTGACAGGACAAGGGGTAGCAGGTTTAAATGGGAAGAGGGAGATGGAGATAGGACATCAGGAAGAGACCCTTCCCAGAGGGGGCAGGGAGACACTGGGACAGGTTGCACAGAGAAGCTGTGGTTGGAGCAACCTGGTCTAGTGGAAGGTGTCCCTGCCCAGGGCAGGGGGTTGGAACTGGGTGGTCTTTAAGGTCCCTTCCAACCCAAACCATTCTATGGTTCTAATTAGTAAGTACTAAGAATGACATTTCGCAATTATTTTTGGGTCATGCACAATCAAAAATCTTCACCATGCAATCAATTCTTCTTTGTGACACTAAACCTTAGAGAAACCAATGACCCTTTGGTAAAACAACTACTCTAAACACACTCTGGTTTGAGGCACTGTTCAGGAGAAGGTGGCAACCGAGGAAGCACGTGGTCTCAACCTGTCAGTCTGCTCCAGGGATGGGAATGAGCAGTGCCCAGTGCCACCCTTTACTGTTTTCTAAACTAGACTCCAGTTTTGTCTTGCAGATAGGTCCCCAAATCAGCCTTTCCTGTTTTCCACAAATCGTTCTTGATCCATGAAGCCATAGTCAGGAGCCTGCGGAACAGCATTAACAGTGAGATTTATGAACACTTCTGTTCCTTCCCATTACGGCAGTGATCCATGAGACATTAAGGGTTGACAGCAGTTTCCTAATCCCAGAAGGTCAAGAAATACTACCCCAAATAATTTTAGTTCTTCCAACTGGAGCAAGTCATTTCTCTTCTTGTACCAGTGGTTTGATCAGCAAAGGTGTACAAGCTGAAACAAAACTCCTCTGGGGTTCAAAAGTTCCTGGCAACTAGCTGTCTGGTATGCTACACTGCTTGTTAGTGTGGGGATTGGCAGAGGTTAGAGGAGCCTAGGAATTGAGGACAGCCATAAAGCAGGGTTTGGCAATCAATATATTTGAGTTCCTCAAGAAACAGAGGTTTAAACAACAATTTTATGTATGTAACCCATAAGTACTTCAAGCTCTGGTAATTACTACAGAAACAGAACATCAGAGACAAGCGAGAGAAGAACGTCTCCTCTTTCTTTCACAATTCCCTCACAGTGAGCCCTTCTGCTGCAACAAACACTTGGTGCATTAAGTCTTTCTAAAAGCATCTTTTCAAAATTAACCCTAAGCATATAAAACATCTCAACTGTGAAGGGCAAATTACGCAGGAGGACAAACCTTTCACACGTCCTGTAAAAATCTTAAATTCCTGCTTACGCCAGAAGTCAGGCTATAGAACCAACTGCTCCAGACCCTTTGCATCACAACGTTACAGATTACTTAAAACAGGTTTACTTCAGTTATACCACTTACATGGCCAGAAGCTGGAGCTGAAAGAGTTTACAACTAGTGTGCACCTAGTACAACCGTACAGTATCTGTCCAAGAGTTCCCAGTCTGAAGCATGGAGCTACTCCCTGTTTCAGTATCCTCTAAAAGATTCAAAGCTGTGAGAGTCAGGGTTAAGACACCATCAAGACAGTACAGATGAAACACCACTCCCAAGCTTGTCCTGGTCCCCAAAGTAAAGGGGCCAACATCAATACTCTAAGCAATAATGACACTTGCAATTACCCAAGACAGCTCTGTCAACTATCTTCCTACAGTGAAAGGCTGTACTGAAAGCACGACAAAAAAACAACAAACATGAAAGCCACAAAAAACCCCACTGCTCTTTGAAGTATCAGAGAGACAGTAAAACCTCTCAGCAAAGTGAAGGTGATGTTTCACTGCATTTACTGTACAAGTTTAATTTTTAATCATACATCATCTTTATTTCTATAGCAGCAGCACCCATACTGGCATCTCATTCTCAGACAATTAGTTTCTTTATACCATATAGGTCTCATAGCATGTGGCACTTATATGGACTGAAGTCAACAGCTTCATTCCTGAAGCTCAGAGGTCAGGAGAAGCTCTGGGGAGTATTTACAGCCAGCAACAATTCACGTAGTCCTACACAATTTCTGTCTGCAGTAACTGTGAGTGTAAAGGGTAGAGAAGAGAGTCGTTGGCTCCACTGCTTTACACTTGAAGCCTGAACTGAAAAGCAGACCTGATCGTGCTGCAATCGAGAGCTACGCCAGGGAATGGTCCAAATGCATACCCCCTTAATATCCAACTCTGCCACTTCTCAACAAAAAAGTTTGAAGTTTGTTATTTTAGCTTCTCAGAGAACACACAAAAACATTTTCAAGTTGGTCTTTAAACAAATGAAAAGTTTTCAAGCTCAGGGACCTGCCTTTCCTCAGCAGTACTCCCAGAACCACAACAGGGCTCACCAGCACGAGGAGACAATTCACACGCAGCCAACTCATACTGGCTGAACTAGGAAGTGCTCAGTATTAGAATCATGTCTAGGACTGCTGCAAGTGCAGTAACTTAACCACTTAAGAGATGCCACCCCTGCCTTACCATCACCACCTCTCATTACATCCTTGCACAAAGCCCAATCCCCAACACCAACTTTCTGACATCATTTTTCACAACCATCATTAAACAGCTTGACAAAGCTACGAAGCACACATGCTGTAAACACACAAAGATGTATTTGCAAAATCTTTAGTTTCACACAGATTTCAGGATGCTCTATAGCTATGTTCATTTCCTCATCTCTCTTTTATTTCTATGAGCTCAGGATACCAGACCAGCACACTCAAGTCTGTTTAGAAATGACTGCACAAGTGTCTGGAGAAGTGAACACATAGTCTCTACTACTAGTGTGAGCTTCCCTGCTTGTATCTGGCAGGGAAGTGCTAAAGATGTAATCTCATGCCTCATTGCATCCTTGTTCCCAGACAAAAGTAAAGCTACAGAGGAATCAGTAAGTGGTTTATATACTTATAAAAAAGGTTATCACACAGAACTCTTCCACAGCAACAAAGCATAATGAGAATGGCACATTTCCAACAACAGCCTGGGTAAGTGTGAACTTCAGACCTGGCCATAAACTTCCCTTCGTACCGAAAAAGAGCCAGATATGCTCGAACTAGGGGACCTTCCTGGCGCCAGCAGCAGCACCCGCGGCGCTTCCCGGACTCAATCCCTCAGTCTCCCAACAGCTGAGCACGAGCAGGAAAGAATCAGCCTGAATCTAGGCCAGCACTCTGCACTTCAGGGGAACATCTGAGGGCTCTACACAGCTCCCAGTGCCGAGGGCAAGGCAGGAAGGCTCCTTCCAGCCGCACCAACCGCGGGACCCGGGCAGCCGCTTGAACCACTGGGATGAAGATGGTCAGCCCCCTCCTGCCTCCCGCTCTGCCCCGGCCCCGCCGCCCGATGCCGGCAGACCCGGGCCCAGCCGCCACCGCTCCCCACCTTGTTGTTGTATTCCTCCACGAAGCTGCCCAGCGCCAGACGGAACCGCTTGTCCGGCCGGACGCTCCAGTTCATGGCGTACACGGTCCAAGGCGCCTCATATTTGTAGATCTCCTTCCGCTTCCCGTGCAGCGACATGGCTCGGCCGAGGGGGCCCCGGGCAGCGGCGGGGCTGAGGGGAACAGCGGGCTTAGCC